CAGTAGCACCTCTAACACAGACCTTCTGCCTCAACACACACACACACACACACACACACACACACACACACACACACACACACACACACACACACACACACACACACACACACACACACACACAGGACACAGTAGCACCTCTAACACAGACCTTGTGCCTCAAAAAGTCGGTGACTACCTACTGAACCACGGCGTTGACAACCGCAGCACCGATGTTGTCTTGTTGTTGTTGTTGTTGTTGTTGTTGTTGTTGTTGTTGTTGTTGTTGTTCTATTTTATTGTTGTTTTTGTTGTTATTGTTGTTGTTGATGTTGTTGTTAATGTTGTTGTTGTGGTTGTTCTATCTTATTGTTGCTGTTGTTGTTGTTGTTGTTCTATCTTATTTTTTGTTGTTGTTGTTGTTCTTGTTGTTATTGTTCTATCTTATTGTTGTTGTTGTTGTTGTTGTTGTTGTTGTTCTATCTTATTGTTGTTGATGTTGTTCTATCTTATTGTTGTTGTTGTTGTTGTTGCTGTTGTTTCTGTTGTTGTTGTTGTTGTTGTTGCTGTTGTTTCTGTTGTTGTTGTTGCTGTTCTTTTGTTGTTGTTGTTGTTGTTCTTATTCTTCTTCTTCTTTTTTGTTGTTGTTGTTGTTGTTGTTGTTGTTGTTGCTGTTCTTTTTGTTGTTGTTGTTGTTGTTCTATTGTTGTTCTATTGTTGTTGTTGCTGTTGTTTTTGTTGTTGTTGTTGTTGTTATGTTGTTGTTTTTGTTGTTTCTGTTGTTGTTGTTGCTGTTTTGTTGTTGTTGTTGTTGTTGTTGTTGTTTTCTGTTGTTGTTGTTGTTGTTTTCTGTTGTTGTTGTTGTTGTTGTTGTTCCTGTTCTTTTGTTGTTGTTGTTTCTTGTTTTGTATTGTTTTTGTTATTGTTAGAGAATTGTCATTGTTATTGTTATGGTTACAGATATTGTTGTTATTATTGTTATTGTTCTTGACATTGTTATAGATATCGTTATTGTTCTAGATACTGTTGTTAGTAATATTGTTATTGTTATAGGTATTGTTATTGTTATTATACTTGTTATAGATATTGTTATTATTGTTATTGTTATAGATGTTGTTATTATAGCTGTTGTTCTTGATGTAGGAGTAGCTGTTGTAGACATGTTTTACGCCATAAGTGACATAATTTAGATCTCCTAGGGAGCAGGCTTCCCACCCTGCCTGTCAGGGCCTACCCTGGCTGAGAGGGACAAAACAATTGATCAGTCACTCGGGAATCGAACTCCGGTGTTCTGCGTGTAACCTCGAGCAGCGTAACCTCTGCACCAGTCACTGGTCTCTCTCTCTTGTATGGAAGGTTGACCATAGATTTATATTCTCCTAGATCAAACATCCTGAAGGTTGACCATAGATTTATATTGTCCAAGATCATACATCCTGAAGGTTGACCATAGATTTATATTGTCCAGGATCATACATCCTGTATGGAAGGTTGACCATAGATTTATATTAACACTCACAGTGACAGTTTTTGACCACAGATTTAAATTGTCCTAGATCATACACCCTGAAGGTTGACCATAGATTTATATTGTCCAAGATCATACGTCCTGAAGGTTGACCACATATTTATATTGTCCTAGATCCCACACCCTGTATGGAAGGTTGACCATAGATTTATATTAACATTCACAGTGACAGTTGAGCATAGATTTATATTGTCCTAGATCATACACCTTGAAGATAGACCATAGATTTATATTACCCTAGAACACAAACCCCAAAGGTTGACTTTAGATTTATTTTGTCCTAGATAAGGTTGACCATAGATTTATATTGTCCAAGATCATACACCCTGAAAGTTGACCACAGATTTATAACATCGCAACCTGCACTTCCGCCAGGTGATGGAGAAGGGCCGGATGGTGAAGCGTCGGGTGTGTGAGGTGATCAGTACCCGGTTCTCCTATGCCATACCTCTAGAGGTCGTCTATCTCACACCTCTCTTGTCGTGGAACCCTTACAACTTGACCATACGTGAGGTGTGTGTGTGTGTGTGTGTGTGTGTGTGTGTGTGTGTGTGTGTGTGTGTGTGTGTGTGTGTGTGTGTGTGTGTGTGTCTACCTCATGGACACACAATAATATAATGATTGATAATGACATTTCGTGAGGCATTGCTTTGAGCTTTGCTGTTTTCTTCCAACGTGAG